GTAGAATTTCTTCATTCAAGACTTAGATAATTTTTCTAAGTCTTTTCTCACTTGTCCGCTTTCTGAGAATTCCGGTCTTCAATGAGTCTTCCGATGCTTAGCTGACAAATCCGGAGAAGTCATTCTTAGACTTCCGGGTGAGATAAAGATCCGCGCTAGTCTTCCGGTTTGGATGACTTAGCCTTCAGCGCGTTGTAGCGAGACATCCGGTACTTATGTAGTCTTCCGGATCAGAGGATTTTCATCTGATTGAGAAATCCTTACTTGTCTCTGACATTTCCGATCAAGATATCCAATTTCCATATCACCGAAAAAGATTAAGTCTTCAGGCATCAAAACGCTTAAAGAAATATCACAGCTTTATTGGAGATCTCAAGAACTCGGTGTTGACAATATTTCTAAAAAGAAAAATTACATTGAATATTGGGGGAGAACTAAAGTCCCTATTACATTCTAAATACATCATCATCAAAATCTATAATATTTTTCCCAACAACAACTTAGGAGATTAACCATCCTTTATAGAGGTGAGTCAACTCTATAATTGTTATTGGACTTAGCCCTTTGATTTGAGTGTTTAACCCTGGAATCGTCCAACGTACCCTAATCGTCCCGACCTCCATCGAGGTGGGTCGACGCATGCCTCACATTGGACTTGGTCGGTCCAATGCCTCACATATCCTTTAAGGTGACTTAGCACGAACATTGTCCTGTTGAGTTGGTACGAAATCCCCGCATGTTGTGGTAGACGCTTCTTGCCACCTTTCTTGAGGTTTGTGTACAACATTGTCCCGGTCATCCTTTTTTTTGAGTAAGTGATGGAGTACGAAACTGAGTAGGAGATCAAATTAAGTTCATTCATTGGTAATAATGGAGTACATTCATTGCAAGTAACTAATAAAATCTGGTCAAATTTTTTCTATTCCAAAGATATAGGACATCTCCCCCACTTGGGGTTTGTAATTGGTAGGTTCCGTCCACCAACACCCCCTTTATGATGTAAGGGTCCTTCGTAGTTCTTTACAAACTTTTCTTCCTCGGTTGGCTTGTTGAATTTCCTTTTCCTCAAAACCCAATATCCTTGCTGGAATAGCCTGGGTCAGACTCTCTGGTCGTGATATGTCTTGACTTGCCGATGGTAGTTCTCAGCTCGCATGTAGGACCTTTCTCTTCTCTCGTCGATCAAGTGGAGTTCTGCTACTAGGTTTCTCTCATTGTCTTTCGCATCAAAATTTTCCACCCGATAACTCAGTAGTGAGATCTCCGTGAGGGCCCTTGCCTCAAACCCGTAGGTTAGGGAAAACAACGTCTCTTGAGTTGTTTTCCTCGGAGCAGTTTGATAAGTCCATATAATGTATGGTAGCTCCTCCACCCAATCTTTCCTGCATTCCAAAATCTTTTTCTTTAGGTCACCTGTGATGGTTCAGTTGGTGTTTTCTTTAGGTCACCTGGTGCGCTGAACAAATCCCCTCATGGATCTCCTCCACTAATTTTTATGCTTCCTCGGCCCCGAGACACCTTAGCAAAGTCCCATTATAAGATCGTTTGTATAACCTTCTGCACTCCAGCGTGTAGCTAGGTGTGTGTCGCTTGACGACCTTTTCCATGGCCAGGTCGATTGGCCTTGATCCCTCTAGTATATATGCCCTCAACTTATCCACCCTGTCCGGTTCCCTTGTAGTGATTGTGAGGATCCCACTGGGACTTGTGCTTGATTCGTGAAATTCCTCTTCTTGAGTCATCACCTTTATGTAGTCTGGTGAGTCCAGGTCGAGCTTGGAGAGTATGTCTACCTCAGTGTTGTCTTCTCGGGTGACATGCTCCACTGGTAAGCGGCAAAACCTCTAAGGAGGTCCAAGGCTGCATCCCGATATTTTTTCATTTTCTCATCTTTTGCTTCAAGCTCTCCTAATATGCGGCTGACCATAAGCCTTAAATCGCATCAGACATGTATCCGGTGAGTGTTCATAGAGGCTGCGAGTCTTAATTCACATAGGTGAGCCTCGTATTCTACCTCATTATTGGACACCTTGAACTTGAATGTTATTGAGTAATATGCTTTAAAACCCTCTAAAAATATCAAATCTACTCCGCCTTTAGATGCGCCGGTCGTGGACGACCCATCAGGGAAGACCTTCCAACTATTTCCTCTTTCATTGTTTCCCTCAACTGTCACTTCTTCCCTTGCAGTGCATTCCACCACGAAGTCCGCTAATGTTTGACCCTTGATTGCCGGTCGAGGTTTGAACTCAATCTGGATTGCCCTTAGGAACACGCCCCACTTCCTCGCCCGGGATGGCGCATTTTAGATCCGAATGAGAGCTCTAATGGGCTGTTGGATAAAACTTTGACCGGATGTGCTTGGAAATAGGGGGGTAAGCTTTTTTACCATGCAAACTACGACAAACACTCTTTTCTCAATCACCGAATACCTTAGCTCTGCTCCCCTCAACACTCTGGCTACGTAGTACACTGGCTGCTGTATACCATCCTCTTCCCTGAGAAGCACTGAGCTCACAGCGTGGGGAGAGACACCCTGGTATAGGTACAATGTCTCCCCTGGCTTCGGCTTTGAAAGCACTGGTAGGGAGAGGCGATAGGCCTTCAACGCTTCAAGTGACCGCTGGCAATCTTCCGTCCATGCAAACCCTTTGGCTTTCTTGATTGTCTTACAGAATGGTGTCGCTCGATCAGCAATCTTTGACAAAAATCTGCTGAGAGCAACTGTAACACCCTAATCTGTCCAAGTCTAGAATCCATTTCAGACTAAAGTACAAACTTTGTAATCGTAAAATTTAAAACATTTCAAACATCTTTATTTATCATAAATAATTTTCAATACATAAATCATGATAATACAGATTGTTCAATAATGTTGTGAAAGCAAATTTAATTTTTATCACATCATAATAAATTATTTCAAGACTTGTCACATCCATCCTGACATTCTTGCCCCATCTGCTGCCAGGACCATGTCACATCATTCTTTCTGTTTACCTACGTGTAGTGAAAATTTACGTGAGGAATTTTGATGATAATTTTTGTGTGTGTATTCTCAAAAGATCTCCTCCCTTTAAATAGGGAGAGAACCAAAACATACAAGGAAACCCAATCATAGTAGGAAACAAATTCTTAAACATATAAGGGAAGTAAAATATGGCCAAGAAAGGAAAAAGAATCCTGGAGGAAATCTTCTGCTGCGCTGCGTGACTTGCGGCCCAAGGCTACCGGCCAATACCCCCCCTCAAGCTGGTGCATTCGGGTTACGGATGCCCAGCTTGGGCAACAAATGATCAAACGTAGGAGATGGGAGTGCTTTGGTAAATAAGTTGGCAGGCTGATCACGAGAGGGAATATGGCAGGTGCGGAGTATACCCCGCTGAATTTCATCCCGAACAAAGTGGCAGTCGATCTCAATGTGCTTTGTGCGTTCATGAAAGACCGGGTTAGCGGCAATGTGGAGGGCGGCCTGGTTGTCACAATGTAGTGTCATAGGAGATGTATGCCGCACGCCAAGAGAGAGAAGGAGAGATTTCAACCATTTGAGTTCACAAACCGTCGTGGCCATAGCCCGGTACTCGGCCTCAGCCGAAGACCGAGAAACCGTGTGTTGTTTCTTTGTACGCCAGGATACCGAAGAGTCACCAAGTTTGATAAAATAGCCAGTCACAGAGCGGCGTGTGAGTGGACAGCTAGCCCAGTCGGAATCACAAAAACCGGTGAGAGTGAGATTGCAATGAGCTGGAAGAAATAGACCTTGTCCTGGGCGCTGCTTGATGTAACGAACAGTATGCATGGTAGCATCCCAATGTTCCTGTTTTGGAGACCCCATGAATTGAGAGAGTGTGTGAACAGCGTAGGCGAGATCGGGACGAGAGATGGTGAGGTAAATAAGCCGGCCTACTAACCGGCGAAATCTGCCAGCCTCATCGCGACCCAGCTCGGCCCCAGAAGCTAAAGCGAGACGATGGTTGACTGGAAGGGGCGCCACTGCCGGGCGTGAGCCGAGCATTCCTGTTTCGGTCAGAATGTCCAACGAGTACTTGCGCTGGCATAAGAAAATTCCATGTGGACTGCGAGCAACTTCAAGCCCCAGAAAATATTTTAAGGGTCCCAAATCCTTCATGTGAAAACAAGTAGACAAAAAATGCTTGAACCGAGCAATAGACGGTTCGTTGTCACCGGCAATGACCAAATCATCAACATAAATGAGGACCCGAAGCTGAACACCCCCCCTGTCGAAAATAAAGAGAGAGTAATCTGCCTTTGATTGTACAAACCTGAACGAACGTAGGGCGGATGTCAACTTTGCAAACCAGCAACGCAGTGCTTGGCGTAAACCATATAAGGATTTATGAAGACGACATACCAAACCCTGTTGCCGTGCGGATGAGCCTGGGGGTAGGCACATGTATACCTCGTCATCGAGATCGCCATGGAGAAAGGCATTATGGACGTCCATTTGGTGCAAACTCCAGTTTCTAGCGGCCGCCACCGCGAGTAGCATACGAACAGTAACCAGTTTGGTGGTGGGTGCAAAAGTTTCTTTAAAGTCGATGCCCTCCTTCTGTTTATTTCCCAGCACGACTAAACGCGCTTTGTAGCGCTCAATAGTCCCATCCAATTTATGCTTGATCTTGAACACCCATTTTGAGCCAATAGTTTTCTTTCCCGGGGAAGAGGCATGAGCGTCCATGTTTTATTAGCTTCGAGAGCTTGGATTTCTTCGGCCATGGCTTGTCTCCAATGGGGATGTTGGACGGCTTCGGCATAGTGAGTGGGCTCCACCTCAGTGCTGATTGCTGCCAAAAAGGCTCTATGCGACAAAGAAAAATTGTCATAATTAACAAATTTGGTAATACAATGATTAATACCTGAGGACAAAATCGAAGGCGGGGAGGCGCCCGCGGGTCCTTGAATAACGTGGACAACAAAGTCACGAAGTCGGGTGGAGGGTTGTCTTTCGCGGGTACTTCGGCGCAGAGGGATGGGATCAGGGCTGTGTACGGGTTCGGGGCTGTTTTCAGGGCTGTTTTCGGGTTCAAGGCTGGTTTCGGTGGCAGGTGTATCGGTGGCGATGTTGGCCGGCTGTGCTGTGGTGCGAGAGGACGGGTGATCCTCGTCGTTGTTGACGAGGGGTGGTTCGGACGTGTTTTCCAAGTTTACTGGAGAAGAGGAGGAATGGAATGGGAAATGATCCTCAAAAAATTTGACGTCTCGACTTGTAAATATTTGAGAGGTTTCTAAGTCGAGCAATCGCCAACCCTTTTGGCCGAAGGGATAGCCAAGGAAGATACATTTTCGAGATCGGCTAGCAAATTTGTCACCACGATGGTTTTGATTATGAGCATAGGCTAGACATCCAAATGTTCGAATGTGGGTGTATGATGGAGGATGGCCAAGGAGAATTTCATAGGGTGTTTTATTGTGGAGAAGTGGAGTGGGCGTGCGGTTTATTAAGTAACCGGCAGTGAGAATGCAGTCTCCCCAATATTTGATAGGTAGATTGGCTTGAAAACGCAAGGCACGGGCCACGTTTAGGATGTGGCGGTGCTTACGTTCTACACGCCCATTTTGTTGTGGGGTTCCAATGCAAGAGGTTTCAAACAAAATGCCATGGGATTGAAAGAAAGGACGCATACATGTGAATTCCGTTCCATTATCACTGCGTATGATTTTGACTTGTTTTTCAAACTGTCGTTGGACCATTGTGAAAAAATTCTGAAGGACAGATGGGGTCTCATCTTTGTGATTTAACAAGTAAACCCATACAGCCCGAGAAAAATCATCTACGATGGTTAGGAAATATCTTGCCCCAGTTCTAGATGCAGTTCTATATGCACCCCATAAATCACAGTGGATTAAAGAAAAGGGAGTAGATGATTTATTAGAACTATCTGGAAAAGATTCACGACATTGTTTGGAACGAAAACACACATCACAAAGAACATTGTCAATAGAAACTTTAGGTAAAGAAATATGAGGTAAAGAATTAAGGACAGAAAAGGAAGGGTGTACCATGTACCCACGTCGTTCTCCTTCCTCGCGACGCATGCCTTGTTGAGCACGCCACTCTGAAGGAAATATATGCCCCCACGCTGCCTACCCGCTCCAATCACTGTCCTCGAGGCATAATCCTGTATAAAACAAATGTTGTTAATGAATTGAACAATTAATCTTTTATCGTGTAGAAGTTGAGAGACAGAAATCAAGTTGCAATTAAGTTTGGGCACGAGGAGGACATCGGCAAGTGTGAGTGCGGCACTCAGTCGCACACTGCCCTTCTTAGTGGCTGCAACACTTTCAGCATCCGGAAGAGTGACGAAGCAATGTGTTATGTGTTCAATGTCGGTCAGGAATTTCTCGTTGCCCGTCATATGTTGACTTGCGCCACTGTCTATGATCCAAGATGTAATAATGTTACCTGAAAATTTGTTTTCCAGAGGAATATCCTTTTCTTTTAAAAGGTTCATCAAAGTGCTCCATTGCTCGGACGTGAATCCTTCGTTGTCTCCCTTTCCCTTCTCTGCACGAGCTGTGTGAGCCGTGGTAGTGGCACCGAAACCAGCTCCAGTTCCAGTGGTCCGGTTGTTTCGACCACCCGGTGTGCCAGTCCTGCCCCCCTGCCGTCCTCCTCCGCGACCGTTCCGGCCTCCTCCTCGCCCGCCAATTTGTCCCCGCGGCCTATCGCCCCACCACTCCGGGTAGCCGATGAGTTGAAAACAGCCGCTGATTTCATGTCCAGTGACGCCGCAGTGTTTGCATCTAACATCTCTAGTTATGTCCCGGTTAGCACGATCCCGATCCGTACGACCAACCACGGCAAAACTGACCGGGTTTTTCTCCTCCTCTTGGGTGGTCACTTTGAGAACACCTTCTTGTTGTATAATTGTTGAGTACACACGGTTAAGGGGTGCGATCGGGACGGTGCTTAGGATGTTAGAACGTACGCCGCTATATCCTTCATTATCGAGTCCCATTAAGAACTGATGCACCTTCTCTTCCTCCTTTTGGGTCTCGATCGTTTTGATTGTCCCACACTTACACGCACGGCATTTCGCGCATGCGGGAAGGTTTTCGATGCTTCCCAACTTGTCCCATATGCTCTTCATTCTGCCATAATAAGAGGTGATGGACTGCCCATTTTGTCTGCAATTTGCCAGTTCCTTTTTGAGTTGGTTAACCCGCGGTCCGTTTGCCACCGAGAACCGTTCTTGTATGTCGTTCCATAACAGCGCCGCTTCTTCGACTTGTGTGATGGAGTTTCGAAGAGAACCATCTATAGTATTAAAGATCCAGGACACCAACATGGCGTTGACGATCCACCATTCCTCAGCTTTTTCTTCATCGTCTTCGGGCAAAGGAATAGACCCGTCAACGAAGCCAAATTTTCGTTTGGCACGGAGTGCGATGCGCACGGCCCGAGCCCATTCTTCGTAATTGTCTCCAGTCAATTTGATTTGTGTAATCACCAACGCGGGGGTATCCACTGATTTTAGTTCATAAGGGCTTACCTTTATGATTTCTTCTTCACCGGTGCCTTTTGAAAAGGGATTTTCCGTCGCAACCTCGACCATGTAGCTTCGATCGGACCAGGTCTCCCAGGTCTACTGCTCTGATACCATGAAAATTTACGTGAGGAATTTTGATGATAATTTTTGTGTGTGTATTCTCAAAAGATCTCCTCCCTTTAAATAGGGAGAGAACCAAAACATACAAGGAAACCCAATCATAGTAGGAAACAAATTCTTAAACATATAAGGGAAGTAAAATATGGCCAAGAAAGGAAAAAGAATCCTGGAGGAAATCTTCTGCTGCGGTGCGTGACTTGCGGCCCAAGGCTACCGGCCAATATGTAGCAAATATAACACACTACACGCTTAGCGGTAAAGCTGAGTAAGCATATCTAATGCGTCGAACATCCATATAAACTAAATCTCAATTCGTAATCAAATCAATTGATATCATGCACATAATATACAATTCAAGCATTTAACTGGGCTCTTAAAATATACATAGTTTAAGGCAGAACAAAAGAATCGATGATCCACCCTATGAGTCTTGTGGACCACGTACCAACCGAACAGTGAACTGTCGGGCGGGTGATATCCTCTTTGGATCCCATACGTACGTTTTAACCAAAGATTTCTGAATTGGTCACATAGGTATATATCTTAGAGTTCTTCTAGATATCCTTAATAATCATCATCAATTTCCAAGTGGTATATCATAGAGTTCTTCTAGATATCTTTAACAATACACATCATTTTCATAATCATTAATATATCCATTTTTAATCATGATTTTATAATTCATAAACCTTACTTAAATCAGAATACTAAAGCTTATTCATCGTAATCATAAATCAATAATATTCATCATAATCATCAAATAATAATAATAACAATTACCGGCCTAGCATCGAATGTTAACACCCTAGCTTACCGTCATGAATCATATAAGATTTTATTTGTCAAAAACATCATTTTTATTGTGAAAAATCATCTTTATATTGATCATAATTGATTGGTATCAAAAATAGGATTTTAGAGCTCAAAAATAGCATTTTTGGAAATATTTTCGGATCAGAATTTCGGGGGATCGATCTGTTTCGGGTCAGGGTTTTAAAAAAATTTTCGGGTGAGTTCTTCAATGATCGGCTAGTGCGCTAGGAGGCTCCGTTTGCACAGTTTCCCAGATTGTGACTAATTTGGTCCTAGGGTACACTTTTTGGTGTAACTTTCTCCAAATTAAATTCCATTTACATCGTTGTGATCAGATATTTATACTTTTTCCATAATTTTTATATTTATTTGTAATTCTTTTTCAGACATCATATGTTTAGGGTTTTGACTTTGATAGAGTCAAAATTGGTTTAATTGACCTTTACTCAAAGAGGTTCTCATCTTTATTTTATATTATTTATTTTCATGATTTATTTTAATAAATCATTTCAAAGTTCACACCATAAATAAATTCTTTATTTATTCTTATTTTGGGTATGTACTCTTGTTCCCAATCAAGATCATACAAATAATCAACATATTGGATTTATCTCCTTGAGATTTATCCAGATTGTGATATTAAATATCAAAACACAATTCATTTCGGCCCAAATCCCAATAATAATTTTTTTTAATCAAGACAAATTTGATTATTTAAATAATAATTCAATAAAAAGAACTTTGTCCTCGAAATTCATCTAAGGTGCAACGATTCAAAATACCCTCTATTTAACTTCATTTAATAGATATTTTTTATAAAGAACTATTTAAGAAACACATCTCAATTATAAGGACCTCATTAGCAATTTTTGCTTATTGAGAATTACTTTGGGAAAAAACCTTTTTTAAAAGGACAATTTTGAGATTTTACTCAAAATGTTTGGTCATATTTGGTGAAAAGGACTATTTGAGGAATAGTTTTCAAAAATTGAGAACTATTTATGGAATATCTTATAATTGGGAACTACATATGGAAAACTACATATAACGGAGGACTATTTATGGAATTTACTCTAAAAAATACAACCTCTTGATTAAAAAAATTAAAGATCGCTGCCCAAGTTGTCAACCGCACTTTCAAAACAGTCACGACTAAATTTGTCTTATTTTTTAGAATAGTCGTGTGCTCTAGAGGTGGCAAATAATCAACACTCTCCATCAGAATCTCGCTTTGTTTTGCCAAGTGCCCTGGTGGAGTTGTCTATACTGACAAACTGGTTGACTTTTTCATTCAAGTCACAGTATTTGGAACAGATGGCGTCGATGCAGTGGTAGGGTTTGTGTTTATAAGGGTGTGATATTTAGTAGTGACCCTACCCCAAAAGACGCCCGCATTTTGGGGAGTCCATAATCACGAAATAAAACAAAAAAATTTGTTACAAAACAAGATAGAAATTTGTATGTAAAGTTACTTGGGGAAAAAATAACCTTTAATCGGGTCTTCAGAAACATTCATGCACGCCCGACCAATGTTTCCTCCTTTGTCAGCATCCACGCTCAATTCGTCCCTTAACGCGTTGACTCTTCATAGTGCACGACCTTCCCTTTAAATTTTTGGGAAGGTTGCGTTTCGGAATACTCTCAAGGTTCTTAACATTGTTCTCCAAGAAGGGTGTCGTGCCAACCATTTTCGGTGCTTGTTGAGAATTTCCTAAAAATTATCATTGTCACTCAACAAATGGAAAACAAGAAGGATCCATAGTATAATTTAAAAATAGCTAAAGAGATGAAAAGAATTTGTATATGAAAGAGTTCTAGAGAAAGTGTGAATTTTAAAAAGGGGTGAGGGGAGTTCAAATAATGGATTGAAAAAATAATAATTTCTAATAAAATAGTTATTGCAATGGCTAGTTGGGAGAGGGGAGATGCTGATTACCATGATGTCACGCCACCATGAATCACCACCGTCACTATCACGCCAAGGGGCGGTGTTTTACGCCTATCAAGTGGTGCCACTTGACCATCACCGTGTACCATCAGAGCACCATACCGATCAGTCTTATATGTATTTGTGTTATTTGCCATGATTCTATTTGTATCTCTGCGCCGCCAATGTGTGGTGGTGGCTGTGCCAATGTGGCGGTGACTGTGCAGTGGCAAATGTGTTGAAACTTTAATGGAAATTAACACAGTGAGTTGTGGTTGGTGGTGGCTGGCAGATGGATGTAGGGTTGAAGATTACGGTTACAATAAATTGAATCTTGCATTATCAAAAGGAATTTGGATACCTCCATGTTAATAATAGGAAGTAATTAATTAGTGAAATAGATACTAAGGCATGTTCTTTAGGGCTGGAAAAAAAGAGCTGGATATTGGAAGAAACTGTAAAAACTAGATGAAACTGGACAAAAGTAGAAGAAACTCGAAGAAATTAGAAAAAAAACTTTAAAAAGCTTTAAAATTATATTTATGTATATTTTACATAGTATTCTTATTATCATTTTTATAGTTATAATTGTTATTAATATTATTATTATTTATTATACTTATTAATTATTGTTATATTATTATATTCATAATAGGTAAAAAATGAGTAAATTTTGACTGTGTACGTAATCTAAATGTCATTTAATTACTGACAGAAAGAGTAGTATAATTATTATTTTTTATTTAAAATTTTTTTATTTCTCTCAGGTTAATTTAGATTAATAAAATATCCATAACTTTTAGAACATAGTTTAGTGTCATGTAAATTAAAATAGAACAATTTTCAAAATAAAATTGTACTAGGTATTATTTATACTAAAATAGAAGAAAAATAATAATGTGTGTTAATCACAAAATAGTGACATGAGAAAAATAAAAATAGAAAAATTGAAATAATTTTTACACTATAGCTATCATAATTAATAATAATCATAATAATAATCATAATAATAATAATAATAATACATAAAAAGCGTATTATTTTTTGAGTCATTTTTTAGGAGTAAATAATGATTGAAGAAAATGGGAATAGTTGGGAAATTTGTAAAAATTGGAAAAAAAAATTGAAGAATCTGGAAGAAACTAAAAAAACTTGAAAAAACTAGAAGAAATTGGAATAAATTGAAAGAAACTAGAAATTAAGACTTTAAACTCTAAAGAACAGGCTATAATGAGTGAAAGTACTATATAGGAGAATTGAATACTCCCTCCGTCCCATGAAACATGGGATGTTTTGCTTTTTGAAGAGATTTAAGGGAGTGTATTTTGGTATTGAATTTCCAAAAATGTCCTTTGATGTGATGGGTAAAAGTAGGATTTGATGAGTAGATTATTAGTAAAAAGGTATGATGTGATAGGTAGGGTATGAAAAAGTAAGGGGTAAAAGTGACTTTTTAATAGAAATGAGAAGTGTTTTATGGGACGGATGAAAAAAGAAAGGAGAAAGGTTTTATGGGACGGAGGGAGTATGTTTTTGTACTTCGTATATAAAGTTTTTGATATCATACGGAGTAATTTATTACTACTTCAGTCCCAGACTAACTTGATGGAGTAGAAATTTTTTATTACCATCTTTGTCTACCTTGAAATTTTCGAGTCAAAACAAATGAACTTTAATACTCCAAGAAAATATTACAATCTGTGCATGCAGTTACTGTGGAGCCATCAGCCTTAGAAGCAGTGTCAATGCTAGAAAAGGGAAAAGAGACGTACCATTTAGTGATGGCAAACATAATGGGCTCTTTCGACGCCAACACTTTTAAACTTCTTCGTGTTGCTGCTCTGCATTTAGGCCTCCCAACTTTGCGTGGGTCATCTAGTTTAATTATTTTGTTCTTTTTTTCTAAAACGTCTCATATGTTAATAATTTGTGTATTTGAATGCAACAAAAACTAAAATAGTGTGGTTTGTATGCGTAGTGATGACCGATCACGAGGACTACGGTGGAGCACTAGCAAGAGTTGCGTTGCGGGAAGGCGCATTTCTTTGTCTTGAGAAACCCATTTCCGCTTATACAATCAAATATTTATGGCAACATGTGCTTAGAGAGACGTCTCGATCTTGCTGGGAGGTGTCTAATAATAACAATAATAATAAACAAGTGGTGATTACCAATAATGGTTTCATGATTAATAATAATATTAATGATAACAATGCTGCTTCTGATGCTACTATTGTCGACGTGAAGAAGAACAAGGCAAGAAATAATTATAATCACGAGTACTCGAACCGCGTCAAAAAGAGAAGTTGTGGTGTGTTGGCTTATAAAAATCATTCAAATTCCACAACTACTTCAGGGGAGGAACGAGTTTTATGGACAGAAGAGCTACATAGCTTGTTCATGGATGCAATTCATAAGCTCGGCGAAGGAAGTACGTACATATATACTCCGTATATACATATATATAAAGTTTAATTATTTCCTATTTAATTTAAAGTTTTCATTTTTTATAAAACTCAACTCATTATTAACATTATATGTTCAAAATAAAGGGTGTTTTCCAAAAGAAATCGTGGAGACTATGAATGTGCCTAATCTCACTCGGATGCAAGTCGCCAGCCACCTTCAGGTACGTACATAGTTAGTAATTTTTTTATAAAAATTTGCACATATGACTAAAACATAAGTCATTTTCCAATGTGAGACTTAAACTTTTTAATTACTCCCTATTTATTATTATTATTATTATTATTATTATTATTATTATATGGAATTATTTAAATAAACGTATAGTACTCCCTCCGTCCCAAAATATTCACAACATTTGCTTTTTCAGCAGTCGCGGGAACTTTTGTTTATTTCTAAGTTTTCAATGGTTATTTGATAAAATAAAATATTCTTGACACCTCTTATTTCGAAGAACTTTTCATGTAGTTTTTTGATATGTAAATTTTATTTTTTTATTTCAATATCAATATGTAAATAAAATGAATTGAAAAAGTTTGATATTTTGTCTTGGAAATACAAATGTGGCAAATATTTAGGGATGGAGGTAGTATATGATATGTACTGGTATAGATGGTTTTTTATTAATGTGGTCTAATAATTATATTGTAGAAGTGTCGCAACAATGACTGGCACGGTCCCAAAAATAAGAAGAAGAAACCTAATAATAATAATAACCAGCAGCAGCCAAGTTCCCAAGGTGACGACAGCGTCAAAAAGCGACATCCTCCGAGGTTTGGAGCAATGCCTGTCATTCAACAAGACAACACTGAGGAGGAGTCCAACCTCGACGTGGATGACTTTTTAGTCGATGATCTATCACGCAGCCCCTTTTATAATGAAAAGGTTACTGCTAGTAAATTGGTTTTCTTATTATACTTCATGAATGAATGCCAAGATTTCTAATTCTTGACCTCACAACTATATATATTTTTAATATGGCATGCAGATTTGAACAAGACATGAAGACGAATATGACATTTTCAGATATTGTCATGTCGAGGTGCATCTAGATCAAGGAATGAGATTGTCGAATAGAGGGAAAGTAAATATTGTCTACTATTATCATTGTGAGATTTTTAATTTGAGGAATTTACTTAAATAACACTAAAACATAATGACTTTCTCTAAATAGTACTACTATACATGTGTTTTTTTCATAATGTAGCACTTTTAGTAATTATACATTCGTCATTATTCAAGCAAATTTTTGCCATCACTGGACATTATGGACATTATTAAGTGCTATTCAGGAAATAAAACAGTTTAAGTGCTATTTAGGAAAATGACTTAAGTTTTAATGATATTAAGTGCAAATATTTCTTTTAATTTTAGAGCAACTCATTATAACATTATGAACTTTGGACATGAAAACTTGCACGAGTTGTCTATGAAACAAGCTAAAACATACCACACAATGTTTCACAGCTTGTTACAGTACATGTTAAAAAGGAAAGATGATACTCAATGCGCTGTAACAACCTCGGATTCACAAATAAACAATTAACAAGGACAAAGCACACACACACACAAATTGTTTACGTAGTTTGGAGCAATGCCTCTTACATTTGCAAGGTCCACATCTGTGTAATAGCCTTTCCACTAAACCATGGTAGAGCTTACACCTTCAACAATAATAGACTCGATCTATGGATTCTGCAAAGTCTATGGATTGTTTAAAGTCAATGGATTCTGCAAAGTCTGTGGATTGTTTTAAATCTATGCAGAGTTTGATAGATTTTAATGTATATTATCAGCAGAATTTTATAAGATTTTGTTTGATTTTTTATAATCCATAGATTGTTTATACATAAATATGAATTCTTTTATAAATTTATACATTGTTGTAACATGAACTATTGTAATTAGCTATTAAAAAACTTTGTTTATGAAATCGATAAAAAATTAAAAATAATCTAATAAAATAAAAATAACTTATTTTTTTAAAAAGTTATCATTGTCGTAATATATTTTTGTTAGAATAAAATAAGCAATAAATTTGTTTTTACATCTAAAATTGTTATTATCTCTCCGCTATTCTTCTTGTATGTCAAAACTCATCAATAATAAAATTCTAAAGACAACTCAAGATAAGACATTATTCAAAATTTTAAAAGATAATTGAAAAATAAAATTAGTAAAAAACATAGTCTTCCATTTCAACTTCATTATCACCAAAACCTTCTTCATTCTCCTCATTAGCATCATTTTGTGGTCTATCGGCCCACATAGTTTCAGCAATGCCATGTCTCCAAGCGTTAGCTTCTGTTCTTTGACGAACATTACAATACCGATCGATCATTGTGACCCACAATGAGTAGGAACGTTGCTATCATTTCTTCAACGCAAATATACTGCGTATCTTCTAAAGGCGTACCTTCTCTGATAACGGTACATAGCTTAAGAAACACATCAGGATACATTCTATACCGCTCTCGAAAACTTTGTGGATCTTCTTTCAACACTCTATGTATATAATGATATCCTTTTGTAGTTACTGAGCAACGTTTGAGGGAACCTTACACACGTTGAGACATGTTAAGTAGAGCTTCTCTTAAAATAATCATTATTGCTTGATAGTTTCATAGAATTCCTCTTCTGTTCCTTCTTCATCTATTT